TGTTCTTAATATAGTTTTTCTATTCTTTTAACAAGGTCAGTTGTATGAGGTGGTCCTAAAATAGTTCTGGATATTAACAATATTACTGGCAAATTTTCCTTTGCAGATGATAACAATGGATAATGCAGAAGAATATGTGGATTTGATGTTTGACTTTTGTATGCATACAGGTATTCAGAAACAGATGGAAGCCTTTAGAGGTAATTTTAAAGGATAATAATCTATTTCCTTTTACTTTAAGACAGTTGAAATTAAGATCAAGATGGCTAAACCTGTCTAGTTTCTTATCCAGATCATTAGATCCCACAGAGTTTATAGAATAGGCTGGAACATTTTCAAAGTGTAGAATGGTGTCATGCTTGCTCCTCTGAAGTAATGGAGATCCACTTTTGGCCCTCATTTCTTCTTCTTTTTGGTACCAGGGATTGAACCAGAGGGTGCTTACCCACTGAACCACATCCCCATCCCCAGCCCTTTCTTTTTTTTTTTTTTTGAGACAGGGTCAGTAGGTTGATGAGGCTGTCTTTGAACTTGTGATCCTCCTGCCTCAGCCTCCCAAACTGCTGGGATTACAGGCATGCACCACCCATGCCTGGCTTATTTCTTCCATTTCTAAGTAGACATCAGGTTCCATACTTTCTACATTACACAAAGAGGATGATTTAAATCATGGAAGCCAAATTACTTTTGAAAATGTGAACACAGCTCTGGCCACTTAATGGGTAGTTAAAAGAATTTGGCTGTTGACCACTGTGGCCAGTCTCTAGCAGTTTTTATTTCAAATAACATTTGTTTCTTCAAATGTTCATGAATTTTTTTCCATCTTCTGCCCATTCAGTTGACAATAGAATATTTGTTTTGAAATTTGGTATTTTGGTTAGGCCCAGTCGTGGACACCTATAATCCCAGGGACTGGAGGGGGCCGGTGGCTGAGGCAGGAGGATTGCCAAGTTTGAGGCCAGCCTCAGCAATTAAGCAAGACCCTGTCTCAAAATAACAAAAAATAACAAAAGAGGTTAGGGATGTAGATCAGTGATAAACTACCCTTGAATTTAATCCCCAGTACAAAAAAGAAAAGAAAAAAGAAAGAGAGGAAAAGATAGTTGGTATTTTTGGTGTCATGAGTTTTAGAAACTGAGCTGGTTTTTTTTTTGTGTGTGTGTGTGTTTTTACTTAATGTATAATGTAGATGGATTTAACAAAGTTTTTCCAATGGAGAAATTAAGTTCCTTCAGCCATGAAGAAGTCCAGATGATTCTTTGTGGAAATCAGTCACCATCCTGGGCAGCAGAGGATATTATCAATTACACTGAACCTAAGCTGGGCTATACACGTGACAGGTATGTGTTAATTTCTAATATCTACCAAATTGTTTATAAGCAAAAATCATTAAATGACAAACTCACTAAAGAACTATAACTCAATGAGTTATATTCATAAAAAAATGAGAAATTAGTGAGAATGCCAAGATGCATATCCATTAATAAGTCTAGAAGACAGTTATACTATAAGACAATGGAATCATAAATGATATTAAAATTCCTTTTCTCATTGTGTTTTATTTGTTAATTATTTTAAAATTTGGGTAAATTGGAAAACCTTAGGCTGCATTATATGTATGTATGTATACAGAGAAGAACACAAATTGTATATACAACTTAAGAGAATTTTCACAACATGAGTTTACCTGGGAAATTGGTACCCTGGAAGAAACATCAATTTTTCTTTCCCACCATATTCTCTTGTAGTAATTAAGTCACTAGCTATTGATTAATTTTGCTTGCTTTTCTATTTTAATAAACAAAATTATGTAGTCTATATTCTTTATGGTCTGGTTTCTTTCAACAATATGATTATGAAATTCATGTTGTGGCATACAGAGGTAGTTCATTTTATTGATAGGTAGTATTTCATCATGTAATCCATCACAAGGTTAATTGATCATTTTACTGGAATGAAAATGGAATACTTCAAGCTCCCTTTGACAAATTTAGCCTTATTAATTATGCAAGTACATCTGGAGCTTATCTGATTTGCTGGCTTTGTTATAATTTTAATCTTACATTCCATCAGTGTTTCATTTCTTATGGTTTAAAAGTACAAGACAGCCTTTGAGGGACTGTCTTTGAGGTTTTAAAAGTAGCTTATATCAGCTCATTTAATATTTACTCAAAAGTCCTTTTTTGTGTGTGTGGTACGGGGGATTGAACTTAGGGGTGCTCTTGTACTGGGCCTTATTCCTAGCCCTCTGACACTGTCTTGTTAAGTTGTCAAGGCTGGCCTTGACCTTGTAATTCTCCTACCTCAGCCTCCCAAGTAGTATTCTTCAGACAAGTGGATTTTTGGTGTGTGTGTGTGGTGGGGGGGGTAAGTTATTGCTGGTTTATAAAGTAGTGGTAGTGTTTTTCGTTTATACCTGCTAGCAAATCAATAAAACTATACTTTTGTTCTTTTAGCCCTGGTTTCCTGAGGTTTGTGAGGGTTTTATGTGGCATGTCTTCAGATGAGAGGAAAGCATTCCTGCAGTTTACTACTGGTTGTTCAACTTTGCCCCCAGGTGGACTGGCAAATCTGCATCCCAGGCTCACGGTTGTGCGCAAGGTACAAGAACTCTAACTAGTGGGGAATCCAAGTGGAATTTAGTTACATTATGATTGAAGGGAAGAAAAAATATTTAAGCCTATGATCTTCTGTTATTTTTACTTTCTTTTTGTAGGTTGATGCTACTGATGCAAGCTATCCATCAGTCAATACATGTGTGCATTATCTTAAGTTGCCTGAATATTCTTCAGAGGAGATCATGAGAGAACGCTTGCTAGCTGCTACAATGGAGAAAGGCTTTCATCTCAATTGAGTTTGAAGTGCAATGGGAGACATCAGAGACTTTAAAAATACTAGTGAAGCCTCTTGTGTTTGTGTGCAGAGAAGTGTATGATCCTTCACACTAATGACATTTGCCTTTGTTTCCACCATTAAGGCTTTAAGAACATGTGGAATAAGTTTGTTAGCTGCTAATGATAAAACCAATCCTTTAACAACTCAGCCAGCAAGTATATAGCACAGAACACTGTGTTGCTTTACAAGGGCTTATGTGACTGGAATAAGGTGGTCCTACTTGACTGTTCCAAAGAGCAGCTTCTCAGATCTTCAGTGTTCACTGGTAAATTTCTAACAGTGTATTTGTGTAAAGTTTGTCATTTCATACCCTACACACTACAGTTGCCATCACTGATCTGTTTTGCTGGCTTTTAAGCTACTTTTGGTCAAAAATCCTGCTTCCTTAAAACACAGAGTTAATGAGCATCTCATGCTTTTTCTTTTCCTTTTTAATGATGCCTGCACTATCAGAGTATTCTAGTGTTCTCTCTTTTTGTTTGGCATATAATCATGCACAACCTTTTTATTTCTTTGAGGTGGGAGTATATTTTTATTTCCTAAATGCCATACTATAAAGATCAAATTCTTAAATGAGTATGTGCAGCTCAAAAATAAAGATATATTAAGGGGGGAAAACACTGGTCTTAGGTGCAAGGCACACTTAAAGCAAGTTTTATGTTTGGTTGTATTTTCTTTGTATATTATAAACATTTATTTAACATGTTGCAGTTTGAAGTAAAAAATTTCCAAAATGTATGCTCAACAATAATCATTAAAATGTTTGCAGCGTACAAAACTGTGTCACGACTATTTCACTTCAGTCATCAGACCTAAGAACTTAACTAGATACTGTCATTTTGAATCATTCAAATTCAGTTTTCTGAAATTACTACATGAGAAAAAAATTACTTTTCTATAGTAAATATACTTACTGAACTTGAAAGACTGGAAGAAATTTTCACATATTTTGACCTTACCGTTTTGTTGTCTTAAGGTATTCTTCAACTAGAAATGGCCAGTTGTTTGCGTTACCTTTTTAAATTAGCAGATCTGCTATTCACCTGTGGAAGTCTAAAATCAATGATTTTTAAATGTTGTGTCAGTACAAAAAGAAATAACCAGTATATTGCTATTTCTTGGTTTTAGAGAAGGGGCTATATTTCCATTTACTATACTCCTATTATTATCTGTGCATATTGGTGAAAAAAATGTCACTTAGGCCTGATTATCCCAAAGAGCCTTTGTTTTAAGGCACTAAATGCATGTTTGAAATAACCCAATATTTACTTTTTAAAAGGTACATTACCTTTCTACGTTAGAAGACATAGTTCCTTCTATAGTTAATGATTTTGGTAGTCATCTTTCAGTATCCTCGGAGGATTGGTTACAGAACATCTCATGGATATCAAAATCTGAGCATGCTCAAATATATTACATAAAGTGATGTAGTCCTTGCATATCACATGCACTTCCTCTTGTATATTTTAAATCATCTGTAGATTACTTATAATAACCTAATACAGTGTAAATGCTATATAAACATTTGTTATTGATAAGAAAAACAAACTACATGTTCTGTAGATTATAGGCGTATTTTTTACCCCCCTAATAATGTCACTCACTGTTGGTTGAATCCACAGATATGAAACCAATGGATTTGAAGGGCCAACCATATTGTTTTTATTTGCTGCATGAGAATATTGTGATTGTATAATCAGAGGCAACATTTAAAATATTTCATCTCAATGTCAGCTTCACAGATCCCTGTGAGTCTAAAAGTTAAAGTATAATAGCAATACTTAAATGTATAACCTGTTTCAGTCCAAAAAGTGTAGTGGTGGTAGTTTATTCAATAAATTCTTGAATACATGACTAAACCTTTATACTAGGGTTAGAATTGACATCCAGCTTATGTGTGTAGTATTGCCATTATTTAAGTATCTAAAATATCTGTTAATTGTCAACTTTTACTAATATTGGCCTGGCAAAGGGGTTGGTAAACTATGCCTGCCACCCATTTTTATATGGCCTGAGAACCATGTAACCATGAGGGTGTTTTTAAATTTTTTAAATTGGTTGAAGAAAATTAATGAGTATTTTATGATATGAAAATTATATGAAACTTAAATTTCAGCATAGGTTTTATTAGAGCACATATTCATTCATTTATATACTACTTATGCTTGCTTTTGTACATAACATTAGAGTGGTGTAGTTAGCACAGACCATATGGCTCACAAAGCCTAAAATGTTTACAGTGTGTCCTTTTACAAGTTTGCTGAGCCCTAGTCTAGCAAGTTGCTACTATAGGTAAATTGATGAGTCTTATAAACTCAGAACTGTTTACTAAATATTTTATGTGTGAAAAATGAAAGTATCTTACTGAAGTGAGATGATTTCATAGCCTATAGGTAAAATAGTCACATTACAGTTTATTTTCAATGAGTCAAGTATTATGAGGATCATCTACTAGGGTCTCCACATACACCATGTTATTAAATATTTTTTCCTGTGATATCTACCTAATATTTTTTAAGCTTATTATTCTCTTAAGGTGCTAAAATCTGTGCCAAGATGTAATTCCACTACTATTTTGGTGTGACCCAAAAATTAATTTTGTTCACTCCCTAGCTGCTTCTGGTGTACCAGTTTCGCACTTATCTGAATGTGCTGCTGATTAAATGCTTACCAACTAGGACAGTGTTTCCCAACTAATGTGTCTCAGAAAGACCTCCAAAGCGCTTACATTGATGTAGACGGGCTTTCCTCAGACCGTGGCAACTTAATACAAAGCTGTACCTTTACACCCCTACAGCTAGCTTATTGTTCCCACACTCCATAAGCTTTCCCTCTGCTTCTTGATGAGTCCACAGCAACTCAGGTTTGCCTTGGGAATCCACTGTGGCTAGTTTTCTGGGTCTTTGTGGATGAAAACTGAAATATGCACATAGACTTTTGGAAAAGGATAAAGAGCTTAAAGCCTCCTCATTCCTTCCTCAGACAAAGAGAATAGCAGTGTTGCATAGTTAGTCCCTAGAATGTTCATTTATGTCCTATTTTGGAAAACTGAGTGTTGTAGTTGAAAGAACTCTTAAAACATTACATAGGAAGATATTTTAATGTTTCTCTCTCTGTCCTCCTCCATTGCACCTGTCCTCCCACTCCTAAGTGTATATATAAATACTTTTAACAAAGACAGTTCCGTATTTTTCACTGTTGCCTCGGTGGTGAAACCACATCAAAAGGTTTTTGGAGATATAGGACGTTGTTCTATAGGACTTCGTATTTTGCTTCTGAGATATCCTAGGAGGAGCTAAAGGAATAAGAAGTCATTTTATTCCAAACTGAGCAGAGCTAGTCTCTTGCATATTATTTTTAAACTTTGAACTAAAACAAATTTCATTAACAAGCTTATTTGTAAGAAAAACCCTTTAAAATGTAGTATAAATTATAGTTGTAAGGGTTCTCTTCTAATTTTTATTTGATAGTAACATTACAGAGTTAATCATATGACGGCATTGTAATTGCTAACTGCCCTAGAAATGGAATCAAAGGCTTTTAGGAACTGGAAAATAAAATTTAATTCTATAATCTTCTTTAGGTATGTATTATAGTAATATTTATTAAAAAGTAATTTTTATTAAGTTTTTTTAAGGAAAACAAGAACATCTAGAAGACTGTTTTAAATCAAAATGCAACATGTTTAAGTCAACTTACAAATTTTATTGTCTAATAGACAACTGCCACACATTCTTCTTACCACCATCCTACTATTCCTGAATTTAATTTGCAAAGGGAAGCAGAGACCAAAGAGGATTTCTTAGGTACTCAATACAATTTGAAGAAGTGGGAAAAAAAATATACTTACAGTTACTGAAAATAAAACTTGCCTCAATTAAGAGATTTTTCTTTGTACATATTTTAAAATAGCTTTATTTTCCATTTAGAATGTGGGAAATACCTATTTATATTGTTTGGAAGGGTACCCCATTTCGTAATAGGTAGTCTTCCAGATTCTTTTCAAATAGTCTTCATGTTTCCTATGAATCGATGCTATCTGGCAGAGCCTTCTCTTCAGCTTTCTGACATCTTATCAAGAATTTGTAGAGGGGCAAGAATTCTTGCCCGATTAGTTTCCACAATGCAGCCATTTAACACCATCTCGTCCAAAATGATGTGTACTTTATCCAAATTAAACATTATCTAGGGTCATATTAAGGAAATTAATTTTAGAGTTATAAAGATGTCAACATTTAATAAATAATAAGTTGTAGCTCAGCTTGGAATTTCCCCAATCTAAAATAATCTTAGCATGAGGGTTTTTGTAGATAATTTCTGAAATTAAAATTGGTATCCAGAACTGGGGCTGTAGCTCAGTGGCAGAGTGCTTGCCTAGCACATGGGAGGCACTAGGTTCGATCTTCAGCACCACATAAAAATAAATAAAATAAAGGGATTTTGTCCATCTACAAGTACAAAGAAATGAATTATAAAAAATAATAAAATTGGTATTTGAAATTATTATGTTGGTATACACATAACTAAGCTAACAGCATTAAATTAGGCATAGAAATGTAACAACTACATTTTTTAACCAAAGGGAGAAAACCTATTAAGAGCTGGAGAACAAAAGCAAGTAACTTTTGCCAAGAGAATAAATAACCTCACCTCAGGAACAAAATCTTCTGGGACAGTAATAACAACAATAGCAATGATCTGTTAAATATTCGTTATGTTCCAGGCATTATGTTGAGTGCTTTTCATATATTAATATATTCTCATTTTATCTAGGAGCAAACAGCTTAAAGCCATTGTCCAAAGTCATACAAGTGGTATATGTCAAGAGTTGGAATTTAGGCCCAGAGTTTGGACTTAACTGCTCTGCTTTTCAGGCTTTGGAGTAGACACCCTCCCTCAGATCCCTCTCCATCTCTACCCCCAAACAGTGTCTTTTTTTTTTTTAAATTTTAATATTTATTTTTTAGTTCTCGGCGGACACAACATCTTTGTTGGTATGTGGTGCTGAGGATCGAACCCGGGCCGCACGCATG